TGAAGTTCTTGACAGAGTGCAGCAGGTGTGCGTGTGTGTGTGTGTGTGTGTGCGCGCGCGCGTGCGCGTGCGTGCGTGCGTGCGTGCGTGCGTGCGTGCGTGTGTGTGTGTGTGTGTGTGTGTGTGTGTGTGTGTGTGTGTGTGTGTGCGTGCGTGTGCGCGCGCGCGTGCGCGCGCGTGCGTGTGTGGAGGGGGGGGGGGGGGGGGGGGGGGGGGGGGGGGGGATATGCAACGAGCAGGAGCTGTGCGGTTGGAATGCCTTCAGAGATAGATACGGCAAGTATTTGAAGAAGGCACGGCGCGAGCTTCCCCCTACTTGATGCTCCAACCTTGCGCCATCAGTTCAAGAAAATGAAGGTGCACCGAGCTCCAGCACTGGACGGGCGGAGAACAGGAGAGCTTCGATTTCTACCTGACAACATCCTGGACATGTGCGCCAGGTTACTCAATGGAGTTGAAGGTGAATGGATTATATGGTCGAAGGTCCTTACCATGGGTATTGCATCTTGTCTCCCCATGTGGGAGGTTAAAACGGATCATGCTGCCGGCGTTGGCCCCGACCAGCCAGCTCTGGGCCGCGGATGCTGACCAGACAAGGCCCATCACGAACTTCTCTCCCCTGTACACTACCAGCACAGGAGCTCGTTTTTTACAGATGGCGGAGTGGCGCGAAGGATCGCTTCACTCTGGAGCTGCTGGAGCACGCGCAGGATACCACTAACAGACGGCGGCGCACGAGCTGTCATTGGCTGTTGAGGAAGCGCGCTTGACGAACACTCCCCTGTCAAGCAAATCGCGCGATCAAAAGAAATTCCTCGGCCTTCTGGAGTTTGACATAGGAGACAACCTCATGCCGGCCCTGGGTGCACCCCCAAAGACTGTCAACGCATCAACGCTGTTCTACCGCAACTTGACATGCAGACGGGAAGCGTCGAGAGCGTCGTCACCAGAATGGAAGAGAAAGAACGGAAACCTTCAAGGAGACAGCTGGAGCCTTCAACAGGCACTGGCATTAATGAGTAATTTGTCATATGCAGTTGAGGATGCTGCCAGTGTTGTCGTCTCCACCTTCATTGATGATAGTAGTTCCCGGGCTACTGGAGGTGCTCATGGACGGCATGTGGCATTGGCAACGCGAGCATCGTCTCCATTTGATGAGTACGCTGGAACGCAGACGAACAAGTCCAAGACGAAGTTCTTTGCGATGACGGTGACCAATGAGAGGGGGCTGATGGCTAGCATGGCCGCCGTCATCCCTGAGCACGACATCAAGCTCACCAGACATTGTGTTCTTGTGGGAGGGGAGCTCTGCACACATGGAACCGGTCCAACCGATCTACGTGACAGATGGTCTCAGAATGCCCTCAGAGTCATCAGATGAGCCCAGGCAGCCCCCGTTGGCATCCAAGGCAAACAGCGGATCATGAGCGCTGCGGCACTCCCTCGACTTGCCCCTGGACAAGAATTTCGAGGCCTAGGCTTAAAAGTGGGAAGGAGTTTCAGAGCATCCGTCATCAGGTCGATCTGGCCCAAAGGACCCATCATGCGCAGCCTTGCGATTACGATGACGCTGCTATTGAAAGGCCACCTCATTGATCCTGTCCAAGTCTCGCTGAGCCAACCTTCCTACATCGCCAGGCGCCTCTTTTCATCGCGAGGCGCCTTCAGGTTGATTGAGATGGCTAAGCGGATCTGGACAACAGATCAGGAGACCCAACGCAACGCGATACAGGGTGGCCCCATCGGTCGCCTCGTACCGGTTGCGAAGGCATTGGGGTGGAGTTGGACAGATAACTTCGACACGTACACCCGTCACACTGGGCATGTGATATCTATGACTGGATAACCTCAAGGCTGGTGGCTGCATGATCTGAGAAATGACCTGCGCAGGTTCGTCATCAAGCACAACAGGCAGCTGGCCGAGGGGAAGGACGTGCACGGGCTGTCGCCGATCAACTACCACATCACCACGATGATCTGACGAAGGCTGAGAGGACGGCGGCAGTGGACAAAGACGACGACGAGCCCGATGAAGGAAAGCCCCAGAGATCTCTGGTACCAGAGAACACACTCCACGGGAAGGAGGACGCTGCAGTGCCAAAGCTTACTCGGGCCGAGGTCCCTTTTCTCAGGGCGCACTTGCAAGGCGCCACGGTCACGGGGCCAAGGCTTGCGCGCGTCGCCGGCAAAGAAAGTCATCGGATATGCCCTTTTTGCTTGACAGCGACTGAGGGCATGGACCACGTACTCTTCAACTGTGCCAAGTAGGAGGAGAAAAGACAAGAACTACTCAATTTGTACACGATGGATTTCTTAATGGCGCCCCCCACTCGTACCAGACAGCGTGGACTCATACTTGACAGAGCTGAGTGCGATGATTTTGGAGCAGCTCTACTTCGTGAAGATACTCCGTTGCCTCCTCCACCTCGTCGTGGTGATCAGGAAGAGCGGACCCTCGCGGAAAGTGGTTTCATAGTGGTTGCTGGAGACGGAGCTTGTCCTGGACAGGCCAGTGATCTGCGCTTCCGCCGAAATGGCCACGCATTGCATTGCGGCCCTGACCGCGTGATGAATGCCAACATGCCGCTCGCATCGGTTGCGCCGAGAGCTCGACGGGCTGAAGTTGCGGCGCTACGTCGCTGGGCCAGCTGGGCGTGGTGCCCAGAGGTATATTTGACAATCTCAGAATATTGTGTTCGGCTCGCGCCTGCTATCCTCAGAGGCGAACAGACTGGGCTGAAGACCCATCGCGATCTTTGGCAGGCAGTTGAGCACGGCATCAAAGTGAAGGGAGCTGAGCACTTTGCGATTCAAAAGGTAAAGGCTCACAAGAAAGAGGAGGAGGAGGTTACCGACGAGAAGCTTCCCTTTGGCAATGCAACAAGGCTGCAGATGAGGGGGCGGTGGAGGCGGCGAGGAGGCACGCCTTGCCAACATCAGTACTGCACCAACATGTTCGTGATCAACAACTGGGCTACCTGCTGCAGGTTACTGCCACCGAGATCTTGTGCGCACGTGTTGCCGAACTCAAGGCGCTTGGACGTGAAGCACTGGATGGGAGAGTTGAGCAGGCCCAGGCTTTTTTGCAAGCTGGCGAGCGTGGAGGAGAGGAGGATAGTCTCTTTCACGGAGAACAAGACGAGGAGGGCCCCTGGGCTCACCCCGGCATGGACCAGGAGAGGAGGCGGCGGCACAAGGCGCTAGGCTGCATGCTACTCCGACCCCGCAGAGAACACGAACGTCGAGCACTCCACCAAGGACGGCAACGGTGAGAAGACGCCTGAACGGGAAGCAGCCCGCGACAGTGCCACAGGCTGCTGGAATTCAGGTATCACCGACCCCGACGAGCACACCCGGTGGAAGCTGGTGGGCACTTCCTTCTGATGCACCAACGACCACATCCGCAGCCCACTCTCTCGGAATGCCCCTCAAGGCCTCAAGCACTGGCCAGTCGCTCCTCGGACGACTGCGCTTGCCTTCCGGGGCCACGCTCTTATCTTGGACTATGGTGGGCACTGGTGGGTACTTTCTTCTGATGCACCTGGCTTCGCATCCGATACCGGGCCTCAGGGACTAGCCAGTCGATCCATGGACGACTGTGCTTGCCTTCCGAGGAGGAGGCCATATAAATATTTGGACAACCATGCGTTGGGAACTGGTGGGTACTTTCTTCTGATGCACCAGCGACCACATCCGACGCCCACTCTTTCGGACTGGCCAGTCTTTCCCCTGGAGACTGCGCCTGCCTTCCGAACAGAGGGCCGTTACGACAGCAGCATATGCCCAAATGACCCAAGGAGAGCGACCCGTGAGGGTGTTCTGGCCAATCGTTGGTGACGACTGCGCTTGCCTCTCCGAGGGTCAGGACGCACGAGAGCGACCCGTGAGGGTGTTCTGGCCACCTGTCGGTGATAGGTGCGCTTGCCTCTTGTGCGTCCAGTTTTCAGTGGAAGCGACCTGTGAGGGTGTTCTGGCCACCTGTTGGTGAGAGGTGCGCTTGCCTTCCGCTGGGAGCGGGGCCTCGGACATCAATTACCTTCTGAAGTTGTTCGAGGGCATCCTGCCCAAGTGACTTTCTTTTGGTGGTTGCTACTGCATCTGGTACACAAGTGGCTGGATTGTGGTTACTACCTTGAACTGAATGGGTAACAATGTTTACTTTGCAATTTTGTATCACTGAGGACGTGTCCGCGGTGAAGTACTCCAGTCTGTGTGTGGGGACGAGGGCGAACAGAAAGTCCCGAGGCTTCTTGGATGCCTCGTCGGATTCGCTTCGGAGTTCTTTCAAAATTGTCTTGCGGTCCTCTTGGGGAGTCTTGAGGGTCTCTTGGCAGTCCTGGGGGCCACTTGAGGCGTCTTGGGTGCCTCTGGGGGGCCTCTGGGAACATCTTGGGGGTCTCTTGGGGGGCCAGCCAAAGTGTGGCTGGCGCATGAGCTTGAAGCCTACACCGCACGGCTGTGGCGGGCCGAGGAAAAGGCAGCGACCAGGAGGGGCAGCAGGAGGAGCAGGAGGGGCAGGGGGGGCAGGAGGGGCAAGGTGGAGCAGGGAGGCTCCGGAGGACGCGCGGGGGCGTCGGCAGCAGGCGAGGGCGGAGAGGGCGCCGATGGGGCAGTCCAGAGTCCAGGCATGCGACGCCTTGCTTTTTTCAAGACGCGGCCCCCGGGAGTCCCCACCCGTTCCCCAGGGCTGGTGCTTCTTCGTCCCGAGTCGTTTTCTGACAGTCCCGGGACCCGGCCACACACCTCCCATAGACAGGATTTTCCACGACGCGAGCAGGTCCGGGTTTTCGGGCCGTACCTTGGCTCTCCGGCGGATGCTCGGGTCGATCCGGGTAGACCCGGAACGCTCTCGGCGAAGCCTCGCCGTCGAAAAGCATCCCCAAGCCGGAAAACCTCTGGGGGGGCCGCCGAGAGCGTCCGAAAACCTCGCGCCGTGATGGTGTTCCACGGCGCGAGCATGGCTGGGGAGCCCCCGGGCCCCCCCCCGCGCCCAGGCGGGCCTGGCCGCAGGGACTCCAGGGACTCCAGGGGGATCGTGCTGGGCTGGTCGGCCGTGGGCGCCTGGCTGCCACAGTCTCTCTCTCTCTCGGGGGGCCGAGGGTCGCCGAGCGAGATCTTTGGGACGGCTCCCGGCCTCCCGGGGCGCCCTCGCGGCCACGGCCAGGTCAGCCAGCATCGAGTCGGGAAATCGGGTCGGGTCGGGGAGTGCATCGAATCGGGCCGCACGGGCACGGAGTCCGGAATCGAATCGCATCGGCTGCGCCAGGGTGCACAACAACGCCATGCGCCATGCGAGCATCGGGCCTCGTCGGATCGTCGGAATCGAATTGGATCCTCGGCATATCGGAATCTTATCGGATCGACCCAGCTGGAGCCCATGTCGACTCGGATCGACCGGACCGAACTTGACCCTGCCACGACCTGGTCCCTCGCGAAATGCCGGCCAGAGCGTACACCTGAATATGTGATGCTCCTTCTGGGGACCTTCCTGGGAGCCACTCGCTCCGCCCATGCGTAGGTAGATGCTGCGTCAAAAACGCCCGTCGACTTGAGCCGAACTTGAGTCGGACTCGAGGCGAGCTGGAGTCGATCTAGAAGCGAACCAGGAGCCGAACTCGAGTCGAACAAATTCGTCAGGAGGCCAAGCAAGGCCCCGAGAACGAGCCCCCAACGAACAAGCAGGTCTGGGGCGGCCGCTGCTTCGGCCCCCGCACCCCCGAGACGCCAGAGGGACCGTGCCGGGCTGGTCCGCCGCGCGCCTGCCTGCCTGCCGCCAGCACCCCGGAACACGTCTGGGGGGCGCCTGCTCGGCCCCCGATCCCCGAGACTCCACGGGGGTCGCGCTGCGCTGCCCTGGCTTCGGATCCGGCGCGCCGTGGGCGAGTCCGTCAACCGGGCGGAAATGCCCGCCCTGCCTTGCGAGCTCCTTTGGTGCCGATTTCTGCCCCAACTTGCCGTTGCTGTCTCCGCCGCAGCTTGGCGGGAAATCTGCCCAACTTGTCTGAGGCGGAAAGTTCCGTCCTACTTTTTCGTATCGTTCGGGGTGCATCTCCAACACAGACTTGCAGGGAAAAGCCGGAGAGCAAACCTACATATTGCGGATCCGAAGTCAGGGTGGTCGGCCCCCACGAGGCCCCCAAGAGGCTCCCAAGAGGCCCCCAAACTGCTCCCAAGAGGACCCCGACAGCGCCCCGAGAAGACCCGAAGACGCACCCCCTGAGAACCCTGCCCCACAACCAAGGTACGGTGGCGGGATGGGACGACGGCCATCAGATATTGCGGATCCGAAATCAGATTGGTCGGCCGCGGGCGTCAGCAGCGAGGGCGGACGCCAAGGCGTTCGGAAAGCCGGCGGGCCGCGCCGGAACTGGGCAACCGAGGAAGCGACGGGGAAGCGCAGGGCGGCCGCGGAGGAGGAACGTGGGAGGAGACCTCGGGCGCAGAGAATCGGTTCGCCCGGAGCTCGGGGGGGCGTGAGGGAAATTGGGTGCTGCTGCCTCCATCCCCCCCCCGCCCCGCCCCAGGATTTGGATAGTAGGTGGCCCTCAATGCCATGCAAGGTTCCCCAAGCTGGCTCGGGGGGTCGATGGTATCCGGGCCCCTAGCGTGTCCCAAAAGCCCTCCGAAAAAGGCCGCTAGAGGGCTCCAGGATGGCTTCAGAAGGCCCTCGAGGCCCTCAAGTTGGGCATAGTTTGGGGCTGCCTGGGGGAATCCGACACTCGATCTTCTGCCTCTTCCCATTGCTCGATTCACTGGTGCTCCTCCATCCCCCTCTCACCGACAGATCGCCCGAGAATCGTTTCTGGAATGGCCGTCGGGGGCAGGTTGACGCGTCGAACGTTAACTGGGGCCGCTCTGTGCAGCCGCTGTGGGCCAGCGCTGGTGCTCCAGGCCGATTAATACTGCGAGGCGCTGCTTGCCTTCCTGGCGCCCCCTTGCTTTCGCGGACGTGCCACGAAACGATATCCTGCTTTGCTGGGTGGTCGTCTGTTTTACCACGCGCCGCGCGCGCGCCTCCTCCACTTCTTCCTGCCTCCTCCTCCTCCTCCTCCTCCTCCTCCTCCTCCTCCTCTTGCCTCCTCCACTTGCCTCCTCCTCCTCCTCCTTAACTTCAGTTTCCTCCCCCACCTCCGCCTCACCCTCCTTCCTCCTCCTCCTCCTCCTCTCCTCCTCCTCTTCCTCCTCCTCCTCCTCAACTTCCTCCTTTTGCGTCAGCCAGACTCTCAGCGCTCTCGTAACGTTTAAGACGTCGAATAGCGAGAACAAACACCTTAGCGCTACGGCCGCGCGCGAACAACAGCCCGAAATTATACCACATTGGCTGGCAACGCGGGATAAGCGGTGCGAAGAAACTAAGGACATGTTGGGAGGCCCTAGCGTTGACGAAATACGTGTTTGTTTTCCCGGTATGTTCGACTTGGGTACAAACACAAGTAGCTGACAGTCTGCCTCACTGCCGTCATCACTGGCAAGGTATCTCGAGCCAAATGAAAATGTGCA